AAAAAGTTTTGGCTACCAGGAATAGGTGGGCATGAGGAGCTTTCAGACGATTTGAAAGCAGAATGGGTCCGGTATCGCAGCGGGCTTAAGACTCTTGAAACTATTCGCATCCCTCGCTGGATTGGAAGCGACAAAAATGGCATATTAGAAATTTACGGGTTCTACGTTGGGCGGTCTTATACAAAATGCAGAGTGTAGTCACTAAAAAAAAATACCCGATTTTACTAATGAAAATATATCCTTTATCTTTGCTTATTTTCAGAAATGCACATTATTTAACATTGCATGGAGGGGCCCAGAAAATGCAATCCTACGTAGCTAACAGTTACTGGATCTTGTCCGCACGCAATCTCGCAAAGAGCGTTTTACATCGTTGCGTTATTTATTTCAGGTATAACGCTAAAACAAAGGAAAAACGTATGGGGAATCTGCCAAGCGTATGCTTGCATCCTATGCGCCGTTCACTTAGCGTTGTCATCATTAAACAACCCACTGCCCGCAATATGATTACGTCAAAGAGATATATGTGTCTATTTGTCTTCATGGTTAAAAAAGAGCTCCATCTTGAAGTAGTGACAAGCCTAACCACCGATGCATTTCTGGCGGTCTTTCGACGCTTTGTAAAAAGACGCGGCGCTGGTACAGATTTGTATTCAGATTGAGGTACAAACTTTATAGGAGCAAGCAAAGAATTACAATTGTTGAATAATCTATGCACAGGGAAATTACTGGAAGAGCTTCTTGGAAGTCTTGCAAATACTGGTACTACATGGCATTTTATTCCATCAGCCTCACCCGACTCTGGTGGTCTTTGGGAGGCTGGAGTAAAGTCAACAAAACACCACCTTCGGCGAGTAAGGAAAGACCAAATCTTGACATACGAAAAGTTCAGTACGCTTTGGCACATATCGAAAGCTGTCTAAATTCAAGACCGCTATGCCCGCTAGACAGTGACGCACTCACACCATTACATTTCCTTATTGGTGAGCCTTCATTTTGCGTGCCCGAGGAGAACATGCTGGATACTAATATCAACCGACTAAGCCGATAGAAAGTAATTGAGCGTTTGAAGCAACCGTTTTGGAAGCGCTGGGCAGGTGAATATTTGAATCGATTGCTGGCAAGGCCGATGTGGTTAAATAGGAATGCTGAAGTAGGTGATTTGGTTCTCTTTTTTGACGAGCGCTGTTCGCCTAGGCAGTGGTCTCTGGCACGAGTTCAAAACGTTCATCCAGGAGCAGATGGCTGTATGCGGTTGGTAACCCTATATTCGCACGGCAAGGAATTCAAACGTCCAATTTCGAAAGTAGCTTTTCTTCCTATTAACGAACAGTTTGCGGATATTTCGTCGCGCGCATTAGAAGATGCACCTCATAAGTCTGATCACCAGCAGGCTGTGAGCAGAGGCATAGCCTAGTCAACCAGGCAACTAAATCAAATTACCTTCACCGGCTAAGACTACAAACTCTCTTTAGCGTGCTTAAGATCAGGTGTTCTTCGTGGGGGAGAATGTTGGCGCAACAACTTAAAATCATAGAACTGTTTAATATTTATTTTGTGTATTATTAATTCTGGTCACCTTATATTGTATTTTCTATGTTTTAGTTTCACTTGTTTCATTTACTCTATTTGCTTATACTTCTCTGACCTACTTATTTAAATATGTTATTCTTCTAGAAACTTCTATCGACGTCGTTCATGTTTTACTTAGCTTATTTTTCGGGAATAAAACTATAATTTAAGTAAAACTAAAACTTTAATTCTCCTACAACAAACACTGTCCTTCTCATATCAGTAAGTCTGGAAACCGTATATTTGACACAGTCTAATGTGCATACATATTTATATAACAAACCATATATATATATATATATATATATGTATATATTTACGATGCTATGTTATCACAGTCAGGAACACCATCCGAGTGTAGAATATTATTACACAATTTTGCAAACAAAATTTGTCGCTGATGTTATAAACCAGCAACAATGCATGAAATTATATATGAATGTTGGCGCTTGCGCATTAAACCAGATTGCAATGAGTTCCCTCACTTTTGTAAAACTACAATATTGAAAAGAAATAACAAAAAAAATTTCTTGTTAAATAAAATAAATATACCAAGAGAAAAAAGTGCATGTAGTATTATATAATCCGCCGAGCTTTTGCTTAATTTACTTCATTGAACTATACATATGTATGTATATACCTACTATTTACTTCTTTCAGTATGTATTCAGACTCATAAAAGTATTGTCAACGTAGTGCAAAAGTAGACTTTGTATTCTTTATTGATTTTATGATTGGGAATAAGAGATTTTAAATAATGATAATTCAAACTGTTTGTATCGTCCAATATAGACAAAAACGCTTGTTAACCAAATTAACCTTATGAAAAGATTTTTGCAATCCCGTTAGAGTTCTGTTAATGAAATGTCCCTACAGGCATCAATTGTACATCATTCTTTTCAAAATCACAAATATGTGCATATATATATATATACAGCGGCGGTCAAAAGTGGATGAATGGTGTTTCGTTTTTAATGATAACAATGTTTTTCAAGCAAAAATTGTTTTTACACTTTTTTATAAAAATATCGTGCACGCTTTAACAAAAACCATATAAGTCACGCCTTCAAACTTTATATAGAATTAAGAAAAATTCCACAATTTTTTATCTAAATTCCGAGCTTTTTAACCAGAATTTTTATTAATTTTTTGGGTATGCAGTTAACAGGCTTATAAAATTGTAATAAAACAAGTGCATGTTTTGAGCGGCTATAATATTTTTCTTTGTTTTGCACACTTTTCCATATAAGTATGAATTTTTTGTGGCAGAATTGCGCAAGACCGTTTGCAAAAAAAAAAAAAACAGAAGACAACAGCAGTTCTCCTAAATTACGCTATTTACATGAAAAAAAACGCAAAAACCGTTAGAAACAAATTATTAAAAATCTATACGATTTTTTAGCTGCCAAAAATTTTCACTTATTTTAAAAGCTCGAAATGTTAATAAAAATGTGTGGAATTTTTCTGAATCTTATTACATTAAACGAGCAATTTTTGTATATATATATATCAATAGGGTTCTCGGAAACGGCTCTAACGATTTTGATGAAATTTTGTACACAGATAATGTTTTGGATTTTAAGGTGATATGAATAGGCAGTATCTCCGAGAAGACTTGTGTAAGGTTGCCACCTATTCGAAATTAGTTACAAATTAATTAAAACATCATAATATGGGTATCAAATGGAAGGCATTTTAAAGATCCTTACTTCAAAAATATTTTTAATAAGGTTACCACCTATTTTGCATCGCATATTTATTTAATTGTTTATTTAGAAAAAAAGGTACGATATTACTATTCATGGGTATCAAGAGAAGGTTCTTAACAATGCTTTCCCTATACACAAAATGTTGTGTCTTAGGATAAAAGTGTAAGGTTTCCACTTATTTTCGATTCGACCCAATTTATCTAAAACATCGCAATATGGATATCAAATGAAAGGTATTGTCGAGAACTTTGGTCAGAAAATATTTTCCATCAGAATTGCCATGCTTCCTTGTAATAAAAATTTTTATTTTGTTAATCTCAAATCAACATTTTTTTTATGTATAAATCAGGGTTGTTGCGAATATTATTCCGAAATAAAAGTCCTTTCCAGATAATAAACAAACCGCTTATCCAAATTAAACAAGTTTGGTACCAAATTAAAGAGGACTTTGATATCTTTATAACTGAATTGTCTTAATGAGGAAAGCCACACATTTAAAAATATTTCAATAAAAAATGTTAATTAATAACCATAGAACAAACGTTGTTTCAGGTGTATGCATTTCTTTGGTATTAAATTATAAAAAATATATAAATTAAGATCGTTCGTTATTTCTGTTTGAAAGCTATTTCATTCCTCTTTTATATGATACCAAATTTGTTTAATATGGACAGGCGGTTTGTTTATTATCCGGAAAGGACTTTTATTTTGGAATAATATTCGCAACAACCCTGGTATACATAGTACACATACGCTCAAGATATGTACCATTCATTCCGGCGTATTTCGGAATAGGGTTGCCACCTAAATTTTAGTGTAAGGAATTTACTTAATAGATATGGAACACCTACTTTTTTTGTTTATTTCCAAAATATTTTTTTAAAGCTATCCAAATCTTGAACACTTTAAAAAGTAGTACCAGGTTGACCGAGCTTTGCCCGGAGTACATATACTTTTTAAAGTTTTCAAGATTTAGATAGCTTTAAAAAATATTTTGGAAAAAAAAATTGGATTTCGATATCTATTAAGTAAATTTCTTACTCCAAAATTTAGGTGGCAACCCTATTCCCAAATACGCTGGAACGAATGGTACATATCTTGAGCGTACACGCACTGTGTATATATAAAAAATGCTGATTTAAATTAAAAAAAAAAAAATTTTATTACATAGAAGCGTGGCAACCCTGATCGAAAATATTTTCTGACCAAAGTTATCAACAATACCTTTCATTTGATATCCATATTGCGATGTTTTAGATAGATTGTGCAGAATCGAAAATAAGTGGCAACCTTACACTATTATCCTAAGGGATAATATTTTGTATATAGGGATAGCATTATTTAAGAACTTTCTCTTGGTACCCATGAATAGTAATATTTGACCTTTTTTTCTAAACACAAAATTAAATAAGTATGTGAATCAAAATAGGTGGCAACCCTATTAAAAATATTTTCGAATTAGGGATATTTAAAATACCTTCCTTTTGATACCCATATTATGATGTTCTAATTAATTTGTAACTAATTTCGAATGGGTGGCAACCTTATACGAGTCTTCTCGAAGATAGTGCCTATTCAGATTACCTTAAAATCTAACACATTGTCTGTGTACAAAATTTCATCAAAATCGCTAGAGCCGTTTCCGAGAACCCTACGGATATATAAATATATACAAGAATTGCTCGTTTGATGTAATAAGATACACCTGCAAAAAATGGGCCCGATAGGTGGCTCCAGAGCCGAGTTATTCCAATTTCCGTATATGCCTGTGAGTGCCTGCTTTACGCTAACGAAATCCCATACACATCTATTCCTCCCTACTGCTCCTATGTTTCTCAACCAATTTGAATGATTCTTCTTTTGAGCGAAAGGTATTGTAAAGGGGAGGTGCGCATTTTGTTTTTTTTTCAGTAGGTGGAGTAGGAGTGGAGTTATTCCGAAAAACTTCATTTATGGTCCGATTTGCTCAAAACACATATTATTATCATCAAGATAAATACACGTGAAAAAATGGGCCCCATAGGTGGCTCCAGAGCTGAGTTATTCCAATTTCCGTATAAGCCTATGAATGCCTGCTTTAGTTTCCCCATCTACTATCTATATTAAAACGCTAACGAATTCCCATTCAAATCTATTCCTCCCTATTGCTCCTATGTTGTCAAGTGCATTGGTGTAACTTAAAATGTCATACTGTGGTTCGAATATCAATATATTAATACGCTAACGAAATCCCATACAAATACATTCCTCATTTACATACATTCATACATACTTCACGTTTTAAAGTTTCGATTATTTCATCTTAAATATTTACCTATACAAAATCAACAATTTAAGAATTTAACTATTCACATGCCTCAAAATTTGATGTAAGACCTGTATTCAATCTTATAAGTGATTCATCACTGGAAGGAATCAGATTCTTAGACAAAGAAATTGCGAATGGGGTAAAAATCTTCATTCCCAATATCGTCATAAGAAGCAGAAAATTTACAAATGACGAACTTGTCAACTTGGCAACACTGTGAATCACTACGCTAATTTGGATTTTTATATTATCTACCTAATTTCCCCAGTCCCCTAATTTCGCTCTTAATCGTCGCGAAGGCAAAAATGAATAACAAAGTAACCTCCCCACCCTGGGGAAAAGGAGTGGTGATCTCATAATATGTTACTGAATTCAGTTATTTTGTGTTTCGTTGTTTTAAGCTGACTCGCTATTAAGTAGCAAAAATAAAGAACGAAGTCACTTCCCCACAGTTGGGAAAAGGAGGGGTGAACTCATAATAACGGGTGATTTTTTTGAGGTTAGGATTTTCATGCATTAGTATTTGACAGATCACGTGGGATTTCAGACATGGTGTCAAAGAGAAAGATGCTCAGTATGCTTTGACATTTCATCATGAATAGACTTACTAACGAGCAACGCTTGCAAATCATTGAATTTTATTACCAAAATCAGTGTTCGGTTCGAAATGTGTTTCGCAAACCCAATTGCTGCGAACGGCGACGAATCGACATTTCACGGTCTTCAGCAACACTCTCAGAAACAGACGCAATATTCTCTTCTGTACGCATTCGTGTGGTTGGTTTAATGTCCAATAAAGTAAACTGAGTGCGAAACTTGGTCACAATCGCATTAATTGTTTGCTCACTTGGTCGATTATGTAGACCATAAATCGGACGCGCGAAACACATTTCGAACCGAACACTGATTTTGGTAATAAAATTCAATGATTTGCAAGCGTTGCTCGTTAGTAAGTCTATTCATGATGAAATGTCAAAGCATACTGAGCATCTTTCTCTTTGACACCATGTCTGAAATCCCACGTGATCTGTCAAATACTAATGCATGAAAATCCTAACCTCAAAAAAATCACCCGTTATGTACTAAATTAGTTATTCTGTTTCGTTGTTTTAAGCTGAATCACTATTAAGTAGAAAAAATATAGAACGAAGTTATTTCCCGCCGTGGGGAAAAGGAGGGGTGAACGCATTATAAGCTGCTAAATTCAGTTTTTTTTGTGTTTCGTTGTTTCAAGCTGACTCCCTATTTATTAGCAAAAATATAAAACCAAGCCACTTCCCCACCCTGAGCAAAAGAAGTGGTGAAGTCTATCTAAACGATTGTTACCACCGAATTCGAGCTATACCAAATTAAAATTCATGAAATATTTTCATGTGATGCGAGTGACTTAGAAGAGTGCATTGGTACGGCAACTTATAAGTGGTTCCAATGTAATTTCTTTTCAATATCTATATATTAATAGGTTTACGTTAAATATTCTTATATATGTGTCTAAAACTTATTACTTAACCCGTTTAACATCAAGTTTCGAAGCTCCATTTTATTCAAATTAAATATTTAATTACATATAAAAAATCACAATTTAGCTAATCGCTCGCCTCAAAGTTAATTGTAAGCTAACCTGTTTTTGATCTTATATGCTATTCATCGTTTGATGGATTCAGGTTCTCAGACAAAAAACTTCCAAATGGAGTAAAAGTCTTCTTTTCATTTGTTACATCATAATAAGTACCAAAAATCTTCCAAATTACAAAGATCTCTGCAGGGAAAGCTATTACTTAGTTGTGAACTAGAATTCTACCGGTTTGCGTTTCAGCCGAACTAGTTCACGTTCTATCCTTTTTCAATGTTAGCGACTGGTATTTTTAACATTGCGATGTTCTACGAGATGTCAATTGTCAGGCTATGCATCAGCATCTACTAGTATAAATACTAGTAGCATCATACCAGTTGATGAGATAGTCTGACAATTCATGCCCCGTGAAAAGCATAAGTGTGCCTTTTTGCTCGCGACGCTCCAGCAGTCACAATGGCCGACAGAGCAAAGCATTTGCGTGGTAAGCCCAGGTCCCAGGTTCAAATCCTGGCGCAGGGAAATTTTTTTAATTTTCTATTTTTGTGTTTTATTTTTTATAAATTTATTTTTTTGTTTATGCTGTTTATTGTAATTTTTAATGTAATAAAAAAAATATTTTTGTTTAATTTCTTTGTTTTTATATAGCACGAGAATTTCTTCCTAAATGTTTTTTTGCAATGCAATTAGATTTTCAAATTTGTTATTTATTTATAAATTGAATAAATTATTTTTAATTACATTTATTTAACTTTAAAAATGGTAACCACCACCAAGCGGCCTCGAACCTGCGATTTCAGAACCAGAACCAGTAGTCTTCACGTGACGCCACAGACGACATTTGTAAGAAAAGCAATTAATTGCGTTTTATTTTGGCTTTGGCAATTCAAAGGCAGATGTCGCTGATCGCCTAAGTTCTTCGACATTGTCGAACTGGTAGGCACATACTAGTTAATGAACTAGTATTTTTTCTAACTGGTTTGGCTTTTCACTGCAGGGATATTGGCAACTTGGCAACACTGTTAACCGCGAATCAGTTTGACTTTTTATGTTTTCTACCTTAATAATTCTAAAATGATTTAGCGTGGTGAACTAAACACAATTATTCTTTACTTCGTTGCTCCAAGCTGATTCGCTATACCTAATGTTACAAAAATGATAAATGGAGTCCCTTCTCTACCCTGGGGAAAAGGAGTGGTGAACTCATAATATGTTACTGAATTCAGTTATTTTGTGTTTCGTTATTTTAAGCTGATTCGCTATTAAGTAGCAAAAATAAAGAACGAAGTCACTTCCCTACAGTGGGGAAAAGGAGAGATGAACTCATAATATGTACTAAATTCAGTCATTCTGTTTTGTTGTTTTAAGCTGAATCGCTATTAAGTAGAAAAAATATAGAGCGAAGTTATTTCCCGCTGTGGGGAAAAGGAGGGGTGAACTCATTATAAGCTGCTAAATTCAGTTTTTCTGTGTTTCGTTGTTTAAAGCTGACTCGCTATTTATTAGCAAAAATATAAAACCAAGCCACTTCCCCACCCTGCGCAAAAGAAGTGGTGAAGTCCATCTAAACGATAGTTACCACCGAATTCGAGCTATACCAAATTAAAATTCATGAAATATTTTCATATGATGAGACTGACTTAGAAGAGTGCATTGGTACGGCAACTTATAAGTGGTTCCACTGTAATTTCTTTTCAATATCTATATATTAGTATGCTAGCGAAATCCCATACAAATCTATTCCTCCCTACTGCTCCTATGTTTCTCAACCAGTTTGAATGATTCTTCTTTTGTTCGAAAGGTATTTCAAAGGGGAGGTTCGCATTTTGTTTGTTTCTTTCAGTAGGTGGAGTAGGAGTGGAGTTATTCCGAAAAACTTCATTTATGGTCCGATTTGCTCAAAACACATATTATTATCATCAAGATAAATACACCTGCAAAAATGGGCCCGATAGGTGGTTCCAGAGCCGAGTTATTCCAATTTCCGTATAAGCCTATGAATACCTGCTTTGGTTTCACCATCTACTATCTTTATATTAATACGCTAACGAAATTACATACCAATCTATTCCTCCCTACTGCTCCTTTGAATTATAGAATTATTAAACGCAAAAGATATCACTCCACCTAATACTATTAGTGACGTGGACGATCAAAAGGTTCTCATGGACCTAAAATCGTCACAAACATAGCGAAAGGGTATGAAAAAGTGAGGTGGTCGAATTTCGACAACGGGGCGTCACTAGTCTTTATTAAATGCTTGACCCAATAGCGAAGAAAAAAGTACGAGGGAACTTTTATTAAGAATTTTTATAACTAAATAATAAAAGGTATATGTCTAAAGTTAGAAGCAGAAGCGCTTAAATTTGTTTACTCATTTTAACGTAGATGTATAGGTACATTATTAATAATTTCTGCACATACTCTATATTGGTACATTGGTAATATTTATTTAGAAAGCTGACAATTTTCGAAACAGAGATGTTAAAATCGTTTAATAATTAGCATTTTTCATAATGTCATTGTTGTCACTAAAAATATTTCTCAAATTAATATTTTTATTTATTATAAATACTTGTACAAATTTAAGTGAAACAAATTAATGATAACGCTCAATAAACTATTTCTCGTTTTGAAATTTTGAAATCTGTTTAATGAAATTCAACCTTGCGTATTTTTCAGTGGGTTTTGTGTGTTTAGAATCGCTTGATTGGTACTGAATAAATGTGGGCACACATAGCAAAAGCTGCATTAATCTGAATGCTTATTCAGTGTTAAAAGTTAGGGAGTGTCTATTCGCACTTTTCCAGTGTCACCGGTGTACCAGTGTCGAGAGTCTTCGGCTCTGCCAGTGTCGTCAGTGTACCAGTGTCCAGTTTCCCCAGTGTCACCAGGGTCGCCAGTGTCACCAGTGGCAAAGTGCGAATAGACACTCCCCTTCCCCCAATCATTCCCTTCTATGACGCATTGAATGCGTCCGTAGAGAGGTCTGATACGACCTCGTAGTGCACTGCCTTCGTTGCGAGGTATACGAAAATTGCAATGTATGCCTTATAGGGAGTCTTGCCTCTGCCTCGCAGAAATCGATACCTCAGCGAGGCAAAGGGCGTAATGGATTTATCCGCTCGACTGGTATCTGTCCCATCACTTGTTGTAGTAGCTTTGGCTTATAGCGCACACAGTGGATGCACGACCTGACCACTCGCCGTCGCGAGCGTTGACTATCCAGAATTTCAGCCTTATCAAGGCTACGAGCGCTTTAGGTCCAGCGTGGTAGTTCTTTCGATGAAGACGGATGTTTTCTTTCTTCTGGGACGACAGCTAGTTCCAACGTCCACCAACTTTGAGCAATTAAAATCCTTCTGTAGACACCAGGAAAGGGTTTAAGTAACGCAGCGTGCCATTTGTCGTTCGATCTTTCTCTAAAAGGTAAACATCGTTAGCAAAATATTTTTATTGTATGTTCCCCACTATGTATAGCAACGCATGATGCAGTTCCTGTGGAGAAAGTTGACCCTTGTCATCGTATTTGACCCTGCGTCGCAATATATCTGTAAAGCGAAACATCCAGGCGATCAATCGAAGACTGCTTGTGTAGGAACTCCACTGATTTACGATTTCGAGGAAATAATCGGTACTAAGAGTTGATTTGAATGCTGATTTTCACTTCTCCATTTCTACAACCTCCATGTCGATGTCATTGCATTTGTTTTTTGGCCATTTTTGTAGTCTTTATAATAATGTATACTATATTGATTTGACGAGTTCTTCCACACTGCGTCCTCTGGAAACTAGGTATGCTGGATTACTAAGTGTTGGTGCATGCCTTTTTCAAATTTTTGATGTTATAATTACAAGAGCCAACAGACCAAGGGGACCGAAGAGCGATAATGCAACTGAAAGGATAGAGCGCTTAGTATAGCGACTTGCTGGTTTTAGTTTTGGTTCGAATGAAAATAAGAAGCAGTCCAAGGCTTGGTCCCACTGCAGCCTAATTGCACTTGTAATGGACGTGTCGAGATTCAGATCCGTTGCAGACTTATCTTCTCTGAATCGAGCCTGATTAGAGTGCCATTTTGCTAGTTTAAACTCACCTAGTTTCAACAATTCTGTCACCTCCTCCTTCATTTTTGAAAGATCGACCATAGTGTCAGCTCCACACAAAGATCGTCCACACAGAATGACGACTCCATGATTTTCGCTCCAACTGGGAACTGGGACGCATGTTGTTCGGCCAAGTAAACCAAACTTCGTACAGCTAGATAAGACGCGGAAGACATACCATACGTTACCGTGTTCAGTTGATATGTGCAAATTTTCTCAGTTGGCGAACTCCTCCACAAGGTGTACCGAAATTTTCTATTATTAGTACTTGCCGGCAGTAAGCACAAAACGATATAATCACACTGAATTGTGGGTCCAACCATAGTCGTAGCCAGATAGGGAAAGGGGGGCCGAGCCCCGCCCCTAACTTCCAAATTTTTGCCTATATATTGAAAAATAGTACCAGGAAATGCTTGCTCGATAATTTTTCCTTCCTTCTTACAATGCTTACAAAATAATTAGTAAATTGATTTAAAAAGTGTGTATTCGTCGCTAACTTCAAAGCACTTCCATTTAAGAAGGGTAAATGCCTGGCTGCAGTCGAAAATGAGCGAAAATGGATTGAACGGTAAACTAACAAATAAGTTTATAGCTTAATTGTTTATTACTTTGTATTTAGGTTTGTTTCTTCTAAGCGTACATCGAAAATTTTGTATCACAGAACAAACCTGAGATTATTGATAAAACTATAGACCGGTTTGATGAACAGCCAATACGTTTACTTCTTAAGTAATTACAACAAATCGAGCATGTTGTGGTAGACGGAAAGCACACTTCCAGTGTTTCAGATGTACATACGTACACTCCGAAGGCCAAATATCGACTCACACCACTATATTGATGCAGCCAATATACGCACCCGCCTCTGTGCAGCAAAAAATGTGCGCCCAACAATGCAAGGAAAGCTCAATGTCGCAAAGCTGCAATCAAACCAGACGGCCAATTGATTCGCCACTCGACTCGCACACCTACTGCGAGAGAGTAATCTTCAACAAAGCGACATACGCGAGCAATGGAGCCACATTTCCCACTCATTACTGTTACGATGAGGAGAGTCAAGAAGCTGCAGATAAAAAAGGTGCCGCCTACACGACCACACTGAGATCGGGCGCAACGTGAGCCATGTGGAACCGTTATAGTGACTGAAGAGGGAAGCTAGACGTATTTGCTGCAATAAGAAGAGAGAGGTCAAAATACGTGAGTGCAAAGAGCTTGAAATGCTGGCCGACAGAAAAAACTACCGGAATTTTTATCAGAGAATCCTGTTGGAACAACCATGGCGACCTAGTGACCAATGTCCAGAACGCACTCAAATTATGGATGGAGCACTTTTCGATCCTTTTGAATGGCAGCAGCACTGAAAGAAGTGGAGAAGACGAACCCGAGCTCCTGTTCGAAGACGATGGAGTCGATATTCCAGCGCCTGACTATGACGAGGTACGAATAGCGATTATGCTGATGGCCTGTCAGCCGAGCTATTCAATTACGCTCTGCCCAATCCACAAGAAAGGCGACCCGCCATGCGTGCTAACTATTTTATGGAGCGTGTTGTGTGAAAGACTGAAGCCCTCCGTCAACGAACTGATTACGCTTTATGAGTGTGACTTCAGATCAGAATTGAGGAGGACCTCTCTGAGCCGTTTGATACCAGTCGAGGTTTCAGACAAGGTGACTCCCTTTCATGTGATTTCTTTAATCTGATGTTGGAGAAGATAATAAGAGTCGCAGAATTGAACCGCTCAAGCACAAAACTTTACAAGAGCGTACAATTACTGGCGCATGCCGACGACATCGACATTATTGTTACAAATAAGGGCTTCGTCTGTTACAAATAAGGCTTACGTCTGTTCTAAAAGTATTCAACGCGGGTCGCGATGTTGGAAGAGGAAGGCCCACTGCGATGGAAGGACCAAGTGGAAAAGAACTTGGCTTCACTTGGTATTTCCAAATAGGCGTCAGTTTGCACAGAAGAGAAACGACTAGCGTACTGTTTTGGACTGGGCCAAAATCGCGTAGGCGGTTATAGCGCCAAACAAGAAGAAGAAGAAAAACTTTGTGTGTCCCAGATATATTTGCTTAAGCGAGGCATGGTGTAGACCCATCAGCAATGTATGTCTTGTCTGGAAAAATGTTCAGTTGGTTATTTTTATGTAGCTTGCGGACTTTAGCTTTCACAAACTGGACAGATATGGGAACATTTACTTTCTCTTAAAACAAAACCACATGTGTTAATCCTTTTTTGGGTACTCGCACTGTTTCAAAGTTTGCCGTTTCTCAAGTCCGGCATCTATATTTTTTTATTTTTACTTTTATTTTTATTTTGACTAGTTCTGTTAACAGTTGATTTGTTTATTTTAAACTCATCACACATCACTTTAACAGAAATACCACTTTTTAGTTTTTCCAGAATACTGGCAAGGCAAAGAAAGGCAAAAACTTCAAATTTTCTGTGTATGGCATGCACAAACAAAGAGTGTTGAAGGTATTGAGGTTAAATGGTTTTCAAGTTTCTTTTATAAAGGTTACAATGTTTTGCTTTAGAGACTTGCATTAATCAAGGCATTGCACGTATTGAGGGTTGCGGTTATCGCAGTTGTAAGGCTCAACCTATGAAAAGAGCGTTTTTAGACCTTAAGTCCAGTTGGAGGGGGTATTCAAAATTTCGAGTATGCATATTTTCTGTGCTTCAATATGTCTATAACTTAAGCGGTCACACAGTGTTTTATAATCCCGACGAAGTCCTTGACCGTGGTATAGGGAGAGGAACAGTACATGACGGTAGGTAGTTTAGTTTGGGTTAAAGTCCCACACTGGCGGGGTTAAGCTTTCGATGTTAAAAAGTTAACTATTCAAATCGACGAATAATTTTAGATCAGCTTTCGTGAACATCTGTTTATGTTTTTTTGTACAACATACCTCTGTTTGTTACAATAATTTTAAGCGAT